TGCCCGGGCCACACGCTGGCCCACCCCCCATCCCTACTCCAAATCCTGCCCTCTCAGAGCCCTCCCAGACTGCCCGGGCCACACGCTGGCCCACCTCCCTTCTCAGGGGCTCCTGACCTTGGGCCGCTGGCAACCACACTTCTCAGCAGCACTTTCCCCTCCTTTCAGCTGGAACCCCCCTGAGGGCATTTCCTGCTTCAAATCGCCCCTCATTCACAGCGACTCTGGGCATGTTAATGTCAGTTTTTTCACTTGTAAAACGGGTCTCTACTCTTTCTCCTTCAGGCCACTGGAATGGCCCCATGACAGGATGCATCTCTGCTGAGCTCCGGCTAACGTAAGAACAGAGTGGGTGAGGGGGTCTTCTTCTGTACACTCTCCCCCTGTGGCTCCCACAGCACAAGCGTGAGAGACACTTACCACTCAAATAAACGACACAGTTTTTTCTCGGGCAATGACGTGTATGCAACAGCCCGGTTTGCTGACCAGGAATCGCAGCCTGGAAGAGAGAGAGACCATTCCCCAGGAGTCCCAGAGCTGAGGACACCCAGAAGCTGGGACCCTGCTCTCAGCCCCTGCTGGGCTAACAATTTAAACCTGCTTGCCCATGTCGCACCTTCCCTGGACTGAAGACTGAGTTGACGACCCCTTTGTCATCAGCTCTGTTCCTGCCCATAGGAAAGTTCAGGGAGAGGCAGGCAGACCATTCCAAGAGGCCCAGGTCACTGTTAACGGTGCCAGGGAACCTCAGGGTCCGTAAGTCTCTTAGGGGCCCGGGCTGGATCCCTGTGCCTCCTGGTCTGCTCTGCCCTGCCCAGGGCCTGGCCCAGGGAAGGATCCATAAATGACACCCACTGTGAGGCCTGGGGCTGGTGAGATAACATTTCTGTGCTTCAGTTTCCTCGTGGATAAGATGAGGATAAGAAGAGTTGTTTCTAGTGCGTAGCACAGTGTCCGAGAACAGAAGCAAACTCAGGGCTGGGGAACTGTCATTCTATGTTGACTCATGAATACGGCTCAACTCTCTGGTCTTGCTTCCTATTTCCAGGGCCTCTACTATGGGGTCTCCTGTGGAGCAGGCATCGCTGTGACAGGCTCTCTCAGCACCCCATACCCTCCTGGCATAGCACCAACCACAATGGCAACTCAACCATTAATGGTGTAATTATCCGGCAGGCCCTGAGGCTCATGGGGTCAGAAGGGATATCTCTCATTCCAGTGCATCTCCAGGGCCTGGGGAGATGCTCAGTAAATACTGCCTCCTGCAACCCCTGGGGCCGGCTCAGAAGAACCAGCCCCTCCATACAGGACATCTCCCCGGTTACTGACAATTCCTGCAAACATGGCCTTCCGGGGCCTGCAAAACCGGCTCACGGGGTCCCGCAGCCTCCCTCTCTCTCTGCTCATGCTGTTCTCTCATTTGCTGCCTTGAGAAGCAGAGAGCTAGTCTCGTCTTGGGAGGCGGGTTAGAGAGAATATCTATTCCCAGAAAGTAGATACTCTGGGGTGTTCCTTCTATATCTGAGGTGCCGTGATTCGCAGCAGTTCTGGGTAAAGGCATGAGTGCCCATGAGAAAATGAACATGTGTTTGGGTGGCCCAGGCAGCATCTTCACGGGACTGTGCTTTGTGGTTAAGGCGGAAGTTCCTGTCTGTGGCTCTCGTGCTCAAAAAATGTCTGCAGCATGAACGCATGAGTGAGTGAGTGAATGACTAGGTGGGTGCCTTCGATGACGGGCCGGGGCCTCCCACAGGGCCTGCCCTGCCCCTGCTCCAGCCACGCCCCTGCCCCCTGGGAGGCTGAGAGGGACACTGTGCCCCTTGAGATGTGGGGGGCCAGGCCCAGCCCCCCATACAGGCCTGGTGCCCTGGAGCAGGTGCCTGTGAGGGTGACAGATCGTAGCTGGGGAAGCCGCTTCCTCCCGGGCTGCACTTCTCACCAGCAGAGGGTCAATATTGTTGCTCCAGCAACAAGAATTGAGAACATACAACAGTCGACTTCTGACCCCCTAACGCCATTTCTCAGACCTCATTTTAGGAATCAGCCTGAATAAGAATAAATGCTATATATTTAAGGAGCTTATAAATTTATCATTGAAGGACAATGAAAACAGCTTCAATCCTAACCACAGAGCACAGGCAGGAAAGCAGGGCCGCCGTGAAAGGCCAGAATATCACAGGACATTTTTAGTTGTGATGTTAAGTGAAAACATTTCTACATATAATATGATCGTAAGTAATTTACAGAGAGACAACCTGCGCACAGAAAAAAGTCGGAAAGAAAAACACGAACCAGTTACCAGTAGTCATCTCTGGGGCAGGACTAGGATCTTTACGAACATGGAATATGTCGCATTCTCCGCAGGTTTTGAAGAAGGGCACTTAGTGGTTCAGAGTGAGCACCAGCTTTGCTGGGAGGGCACGTGACCCCCCCTCAGCTCCTCATTGACGAGTGCGTACCGGTCAGCACCAGTGAACGGTCAGTGCCAGTGAACGGTCACCATCACTTTAGAGCAGGACAGACACGATCGACTTTAATAATACAGCTAAAAGGATGTGGGGGAGGGGGAGGGGGAGGGGAGTGACTGCTAACGGGTGACGGGGTTTCTTTTCGGGGTGAAGAAAATGTTCTGGAATCGGAGAGCGGTGACAGCTGCACGACCTTGTGGATATCCAAACCACTGAGCTGTGCTCTTTAGAACAGTGAATTTCATGGTGGGTGAATCATATCTCAATTCAAAAAAATGGAAACCAGGTAAAGGAAAATCATGACAGGAAGGTAACTGGGGTGGCTCCAGTGGGAACAAGGACTGAGGACACTCCCAGGAGGCTCAATAAACATGCCCCTTTCCTCTTGGCTGCTTTAGTTCTCAGCTGGGTAAGCCCTGGGTCTTACTGACCCTTGTAACTCTGGGAACCTTCCCGGGGCAGCCTCACAAGCAGAAAGGGGGGATCAGCCAGGACACAAGAGGGAAGGAAACAGACTCTCTGCCGACTTTCTAACTGACCAGCCGGGGCGGGCAGAAATAAGGAGGCAGGTGGGGGCAGAAATAAGGAGGCGGGCAGCCAGCACTGACCGCAGCCCACAGGCCAGCCAAGCCCTGGGTGAGAGCAGCACTTACCCAGGAACCCCTCCTCATCCACGATGATGGTGTAATCCTCCGGCGTCTCGGTCAGACTGAAGAACTTGCACCTGGGGGGATGGACAGACAGACAGGATATCGTGTTAGTCCCGTATTAGTCCCAGCCAAGACCCTAGGGCAGCTGCCCACCATGACCCAGGGGGAGAGGACTCAGTTTACCGAGAGCTCGGACCCAAGGCTGCAGGGTAACCTTGGGTAAGCTGCTTGTCTCTCCCTCAGCTCGCCCCCAGTTCTGACTCAGGAGGTCTCAAAGTCCCCTCTGTGCCCCCCAATCTTTGGGGACCCCTGAGCCAGCCAGCCTCTAGGGTACCATACAGGCCCAAGGGTCTTAGAACCCCCCTTTTCTCAGGGGGAGGAAGTAGCTGAAGGGTGGCTCTGCAGGGATCATGCAGATGAACTGTCTCTTCCGTGGGCCCCCCACATTCCGACCTCTACGCTTCCGTCACTGTCCCCCCATGGTCCTGGCCCCTCTCCTCACCAACTCAAGAGCTCCCATTGTCATTTAAGGCCTAACTCACATCACCCAACTGACAGGCCAGGATTTAGCGTACTTTTCTTCCTTGAACAAGAGAAGAGTGTGGCTGTCAGTGTCATTTTGGGGGCATGGATCCCTGAACTGCCACATGTCCCCTTTGGTGATACTGTTTAGCCTGGAGTGTATGTGGGTCACTTTCCCCCTAAAGGAGACCATCGATTGCCCAAAGCCAGGGTCTGGCCGTCACTGTCCCTCTGTATCTCTCCCTGCTGGTCTCAGCCATGAGCACACATGCTCTTGGGGCCTGGCAGACCCACAGGGCTCCGTGTCCAGGCAGCCCTCGGGCTGGCTTCAAGGCTTTCCGTCACCGGGTGCCTGTCTCCCAGTACCCCATGGCCAGAATGGCCCCAGAACCCTGGGAGCAGCTACAGGGAGAGACAGCGTGGACAAGCAGGGCGAGCAGGAGACCCCCGCGCTCATTTATCCGCTGTCGCAGCTCCCAAGCGCGAGGCCCAGCATGGGCTCTGGCCCAGTGCGTACAACCCACCCACCACGGGCAGCCGCAGCAGGAGGTGGCCAGGGAGCACCCTGGCCAGGGCTGAAGATCACCTCCACACAGACCACACTGGAGAGGGAGTCTCGCAGCGAATGCAGCCTCGCAGGGATGGCGGTGGCAGGGCCACCCTCGGATCTCTCTCCTCCTGGCCCTCCTCTCCTATCAGCCGCCCCGTAACACCGAAGCCTTATCAATAGAACCTCTGCGGAACCCTTTTTACTTTATTCTTTAAAATTTTCACAAGGAATGAGAGCAACTGGAACCAGCAGGAATGTAGAACGGCACAGCCATTTGAAAACAGTTGGGCAGTTTCTTATAAAGTGAAACATTCACCGACCATACGACTCGGCAATCCTGGGTATTTACTCAAGAGAAATGAAAACATGACCACACCAAGACCTGTGTGCAAATGTTTCCAGCCTTTATTTCTAATCACCCCCAAACGGAAATAACCCAAGTGTCCACCTGTCAAGTGGAGAATGGATAGACCGCAGCACATCCACACCACGGAATACCGGGCAGCAGTGAGAAGGAATGGCTTACTGATGTGTGCAACAATGTGGATGAATCTCAAATGCATTTTGCTAAGTTAAAGAAGCCAGACTCAAAAGGTTACCTACTATGTGTTTCCATTTACACGACATACCAGAAGAGGCAAAACTGTAAGGCAGAAAAGAGTCGTGGTTGTCAGGGGTTGGACAGGGGCTGACTTCAGAGGGGCACTGCGGAACCTTCTGGGGTGATGCAAGGGTTTGGTCTCTTGGTGGTGGTGGTGGTGGTTCTAAGATCATACACATTTGTCAAGACTCAAAGAGCTTGTATGCTAAAAAGGGTCAATTTCCCTCTATGTAAATTAGGCACCAGTGAACCCGACTTTAAAGACAATGCTCGTGCTTGGGTTGTAAGCAAGGTGGTGTTCTCCTCCCCTCCGACATTCTGTCCAACCAACAGCGCACACTCTTCAAATTCCCTCCTTTGGTTTTCGAATTACATCTCTGTCCCCACCTGTCTCATATCCAATTTGCAACCATTGCCTGGACAAATGAAATCTCTAATTGCTTGGGGACAACGGCAAATTATCACCTTAGCAAGTGGCAATCACTGCTCTGGCCTAGCTCCTTCTCAGGGACCCCCATGACTCAGAGAGCCTCGGAAGCCCCCCAGTCTCCAGATTGCCGTGAGCAGGTAGGTACTCACTGGGTGGGAGGGTGGCCACCCAGACCTCTGAGAGAGCCCTGTGACAGCAGAGGCGGCACTTGCCCCTGTGCCCTCTGGGCTGTGAGGACGCTCCAGAAATAGATCCTATAAATGACCCTGGAGAGCATAAGCACCAGCAGAAGGTAGCAGCGGCCTCTGTGTAGACAGGGTATAAATATGTCGTCGATGTGACCCGTCTCCCAGGGTCGAGAACCTCTGAGGTGCTGCCAGCTGTTGGACATCATCTTGGAATGTGCACGTTGGTGGGGCAGGCCTCCAGGAAGGCAGGGCAGCTGGAGGGACGTGCGCCTACTGCTCTGGTCACTGAGCGCGGGAGCCAGCCCCAGGCTCTCCTGCCCTCCGTCACCCCAAGACGTGGTGCACGTCTCCAAGCCCCCCCTCATCTCACCTCCCCAGTCACTGACATCTGTCTTCCCTCTCTCCATTGCTGCCCTCCACGGGAACTCTTCCCCAGAAGACTGTCCCAGCCTCCCACCTCGTCTCGCTCCCCTGCCCTTGGCCTGCCTCCCCAGCCTCATGCTGCCAAAAGTTGGCAAACGTTCTTTCCACTGTCCGACACACCCTTCCCTCTTCTTTCGCTGGAGACTTGCTGCTTATCCCTCAAGACCCAGCATAAGCATCTTCTCTGGGGTAAAACCTTTTCTGACCAGCACCAGCCACCTCTTCTCCCTCACCTCCCACCTTAGAGGTGTTCTTCCCTTGACAGCCTACTGCCTCGCACTATGTCTACAAGAGGACTTTCAGGCCACCGCGGACGGCTGGGCTGGTGATGCATCACAACTCTAGGGGAGAGTTCATTCATCTCACAGTCTATGTAAAGTATGCCCTGAGATTTGGACAGTGCACAACCTATACAACTGCACATGACAGTCCTGAGTGCTTTTCACAATCCATTACAAAGAATACTTTAAGGGTCTACATCCCCCAGGAGACCATAAGCTCTCAGAGGCAAGCACTGAGGGTTCTCTGTACACACACCTAGTACCCAACACTGGCTGAGCATAGAATCAACACTCATTGTCTGCTGAGCAAAGGAGTAACTGTGGCCACACACTTACCTCCAAAGCCAGAGAAGCCCTGATCAGGACAAGCCCTGCCTGCCCTAGTGCGGCAATGCTTTGACTCACCCCTTCTCCGGGAGACACTAAAGCCTCCAGCCCAACTCCGTGCTCTCTCCTGAGTCATGGCGAGATGCTGGCCCTGCTGTCTGTGGTCTCTCCGGACTTTGTCTATGAGGAGCCAGAGAGAGGACCCAGACCCAGCAATTACCCAGCTGCTGCTCCGAGGAGGAGAACAGCTTGCCCTCAAGATGCCCTCGTGGTTCTAAAGACCAGGGGAAACAACAGGGGGAGAGAGCAGCCTGGGTCACGGGAAGAGACTGCGGGCCTGGAGTCAGGGGACCTGGGTTCCAGTCCCAACGTGGCACCAGGGGGTGGCGAGCCCTGGGCTGCCTCACTCCCCTGCACAGCGAGGGACAGGCTCAAGTGGACTCGCTCCCATCCAGCTCCAGCTTGGGCAGTGCACGACACAGGGAACCCTGCTGGCCCTACAGCAGGGTGCACCTCAAGGGGCCTGGCCAGCAAAACAACGCATGGGGAGATGATTCCAGAACCATCGAGTCTGTCTGGAAAATACCTTTCAAAGGCAGGGAAAACCCCAACCAGCTCCGATCAGAATCCAAGACACACGTGCTGCCCAGGCAGCTGGGCTGGGGGAGCGCCACACTCTGGCGGAGGCTCATTCATCTCACAGGCTATCTGAAGAGTGCCCTTAGAGTTGGGTAGTGCACAACCCATGCAACGTATGTGTGGGTCTGTATGTGCAGGTCACTTGGCGGGTCCTGCAGGAGCCATCAGGTAGATGGAACACAAAACTCCAGAGCCCTGGGCAATGGGGGAGGGAGACTGGGGAACAGCAGCTCTGGGGAGAGTCCTGGCTCACTGTGGTTCAGAACACACCCCAAGAATCATGCTAGCTCCTGACAGGAGCACCAATGCGCCCCTGGGCACTGGGAACAGAGCATGGGTACTGGATGAAGGCAGGCCACGCCAGGAAACCCGAGTCTGTCCAGAGCCTCACAGTCAACAAGGAGCATGCCTAGGGGCACTGAGAGGACTCTAGACTGTGCCCTTTTCGGCCTGGAGGAAGATTCCAGCCACTACCCTTAAACCTCCAAAGGGCTGTTGTGGACCATGTGATGGATGCAGTGCTGCTGCTCATGGCTGTGTGACCTTAGGCAAGTTACTCAACATCTCTGTGCCTCAGTTTCCTCATGTGTATAACGGGGATAATAATAGTGTCTATTTCACAGGGTTGTTGCTAAAGAATAAGTAAGTGAATACCGGGTGTGACTACGGTAAACACTCAATACGTTGGCTATTTATTCTTCTTGGAGGGCAGAGGCAGCTGAAGGGGAGGCCACGGGGAGGCCAGCCTGTGTTCCCAGTAAAGAAAAGCTTAAATGGCAGCTGGACGCAGAGACAAGGGGGCTGGCAGGAGGCAGTGAGTTGTCAGTTCTCCGCAGGGCTGAGCCCCCGGCAGGCGGGCTGCAGGGGCGATGCTGTCTCAATGGGGAGGATGGACTAAGCCACCTCCAAGGGTCCGTGCAGTGCTGAGTCTCCGAGTCTTTAAAACACCTGGTTCTGACACACTGACCCCAAGCAACAGGCTTTGGCTGAAAAGTCTCCATTCACCGTCCCTGTAGCCCCGCTCCCACCAGGCAGCCAGGGAAGGGACGATGGTTTATGACGGGGAGACTGACTTGGCCTGAAATTCCCAGTGAGTCCGTGTGGGAGCCAAAC